AAGCCTTTTTGTTTCGGTATTTAATTGGAAGAAATGTTTATTAATTTTAAAACTACCATTTAGATTACCTGGATCATATTTGGCTTTAATAAACTGCCAGTAGCGTCACAGTCTAGTGCATTACCCTTAACGCAGAAAGCTGTTTCCAACTGTCATCAGGTGTACTGAAAGCATAATCTAATCAGCGCAGCTAATGAAGGGTCACTGCGCCAAAATCTCTCTTCGACATACTACGTTTTCGACTTGTGCACTCAATAAATGATTTTCTGTTATAAATATTAGATGATTTTATAGAAACATGTATCCGGTAGAGAACAAGGTATCAATTTGGAATAATGCAAACGTGAAGGTGGTATTCATTCTCACTCATGCTAAGGTTTTTGTCGCCATATAATTGATGAGATCTTAACACTTATCCAGTGTACGAAATAATTTTTTTCTTGGAACACACATAATAGAACAGATTACGATCCAGTCTACTTCATCTCATAACTCTCATGAGGAATGTGGTCGCGGTACCAAGATTACAAATCCAGTACTTTCTGTTTTGTAAGGTATTCCTAAAGTTTTTATCTCAAGACGTAAATAAGCAGAGGCATTTCTTCAAACTTACTGTCATCACAGAGAAATAAATGTAATTGATTAGTAAATGTCACGGGCTTTATGCCTAATGTTTCAGCCCCAGTCTCTTTCATAAATTTTACTTATTTGTCTTTATTAGAAGATGAATTTGAATGCTTATACATAGTAAATATTAACTAATCATAAGTGAGACTATTTCTGAGAAAAATGGCTCCTTAATTAGCTCTCAGGATAGACGCCTTGAACGCTGGAAAGAACACTTTGAGGAACAATTTAACTTGCCTACAGCCACACTGAACCTCCCCGCCATCCACCACGTACCCGAATGGGATATAGACACTGGTCCGCCGTCTGTAGGTGAGGTTACAAAAGCTATCAGTAATTTGAAACGAGGCAAAGCGGCAGGACCCGACGGAATTATTCCGGAGGTGTTTAAATATGGGGGTGACATACTAGTTTGTAGATTAACTGAGGTACTAGGCAAAGTCTGGGAATCAGAGACAGTTCCATCAGACTGGGGTAAGTCACTTATTATACCGATATTCAAGAAGGGAAACAAGTCCTCGTGTGATAATCATAGAGGGATCAGCCTAACGAACATAGTCTCTAAAATCCTAGGCTCAGTAATCATGCATAGACTAAGCAGAACTCGGGAGGAACAGACAAGGGAAAATCAAGCAGGCTTTAGACCAGGTAGAGGGTGCATAGATCATATCTTCACTCTTCGACAGATTCTAGAACATAGACACACTTTTCGGCGTCCAACAATTGTCATATTTCTTGACTTGAAGGCGGCCTTCGACTCCGTGGATCGAAAGGTACTATGGCAATGTCTGACTGTGAAGGGAGTGCCAAGAAAGTACATTGCACTAATCAAGGCACTCTATTCAAACTCACGTAGTCGTGTAAGGGCTTATGGGGAATTGTCATCTGAATTGGTAACAACCAGTGGTGTCCGACAGGGATGTCCACTTTCCCCATTTCTGTTTAACTTCATCATAGATATGCTAATGGAAGTATCCTTAACTGAACGTAGTGACTTAGGAATCGACTTGTTACCAGGGAATAATCTTATGGACTTAGAATATGCAGATGACATAGTCCTGTTAGGGGAGGATGCTGACAAAATGCAGAGTCTTCTGAACACCTTGAGCAGCAATCTTCGTATGTTTGGCATGCGATTCGCCCCTGCAAAATGTAAGATGCTGCTACAGGACTGGACCACGTCAACCCCTAACTTAGTGATAGGGAGTGAAGTGATAGAACATGTTGACCACTTCACCTACTTGGGAAGTTGTATTAGCACCAACGGACTGATTGGCGATGAAATCTCAGCACGGATCCGAAAAGCTCGAGCTGCTTTCGCTGACTTACACCATCTCTGGCGTAGGCGTGACATCCGGTTATCAACCAAGGGACGTGTGTACTGCTCATCAGTTCGCTCCGTCCTTCTCTATGGCTCTGAAACATGGCCAATACGCGTTGAAGACATGAAAAGGTTGACTGCTTTCGATCATAGATGTCTGCGATCTCTGTCTCACGTTAGGTGGTTTCACAAGATAAGTAATGTTGACGTTAGGCGTAGAGTGTTGGGCAAAGAGGGAAAATCAATCGACGAGGCTATAAAGTTACATAGACTAAGATGGCTAGGTCACGTGCTGCGCATGCCTAACCACCGCCTCCCCCGACGGGCATTGCTAGCTGATATAGGTTCAGGTTGGAAAAGAGCCAGTGGTGGCCAAACAAAAACATGGCATCAATCCATGAAATCCTTGACAGTTAAACTGAGTCAGGTAGGGAGATGCAGACTTCCGGGTTGGGGCCCTCGGGACTCTAGGAATCAATGGCTGGAGACAATAGGTGACATGGCTCAAAATCGTTGTCAATGGCGCAGATGTATTCAATCTCTGTAATCTTTCATATTCCTTTCTACCATTACCCATTCTGTTTCACTCTTATACTTGTCAAACTCTATTGATTCTCTTCACTCATCTTCTTGTCTACCTCTGTGTGCTATTTGGAACGTGGCAACTCGAACTGCTGCACTTCGGTGCCAAGTTCTATGTTGAATCCAGACAGACAGAGACAATCTATGCCGAGAAATTTAACAAAATGGAACTGAGTATAGGAAACCTTCTAAAGTATCACATCTTTACTAATGTTCAGATGCTTTCATTTTGATCAAAACCAGGCATAAGTGAAGAACCTTTCAGTATGCTGAATCGTAAAATTAATCTAATTTGAAATGTATAACTGTTCATGATATCTATGGCTTCATACGTTTTGTCAGTGACAGGTAGATCTTTTGTCAGATGAACGATTTAAGGTTTTTAACCCTTGAAACATATGAAAAGGAGATTTAATTCAGTGCGGTGTCACTTATGTCAGACATTGTCTGAAAGAATAAAGCAGAATCTATCACTATGAGAATGAATTTAGAAGTAGATTAGGATATCGACGGCAGTTGGTAGTACTATTAAGGATATACCTAATCCAGTTTAAGACTCGCCAGTTGGTCCCACCTGAGGTCAAGTAAGACTTTATCTGTATTGAAACTAGAAGCCATTATTAATCATTTAAAGCATTACTTACTAGGTGATTTAGTCATAGGAGACATTTCTGCTAAAACAAGTATCACTTGTTGGTCACTAAAAGTTTTTCCCGTTGTTCGCTGTTAATGAACTGTAGCAATCAGTGTCTGTCAGTATAACGGTTCCAAGAACATCAAGTTAACACCAAAGGCGTTATTGAAGAGCCGCCTCTAGCAGCTGGTACATATCAAAACAGACCTTTATACGCAAAAACAAACAAAGGGACATTGAAAATGTCTAAAAAATAACGACAGAATAGTCCTCTGGAAGTAACGGTTTCCGAGGTAAGCTGTTTGAATACAGACAAAGCGCTTCTCAGTAATTACTAGTCACAACAGATGGGAGGTATCACATATGATAGAAGAAAAAATTATCACTTCTACTAGTCTTCTAGAGAAAACTTACACTTTGAGATAACTAAACAATGTAAAATTGCTTTCAGTGGAATGAATAACTGCCGAATAAATATTATGCAACGTTGAGTAAGAAAAGCGTCGGGGATTATGTCATAATTGGTGTGTCATAATATATTATCCAGTGAAAATGAAACACAGGTGCATATCACTACACTTAAGAAACACGACTGATTACTTATTCGTCTAAACTGGTTCCTGAAACCTTAGTATTGTAACTCTTTCAGCGCATTACTCTTCGCTCAGAAGCCACTTTTATTGTATTAAGTTGATCAACGGGTTTGGAGCATAAGTGAGGCTGTCGGGAGACTTATACATAAGAGTGTTGTGGATTAAACCCGAAAAGATATTGCCTTTGCGACCTTAGCGGATTAAATAATTGGTAAACCTCAAGATTTGCTCATGATGTTCAGGTCTGCAACATTAGTGTTATAAAGCATTACGCTGACGATAATGGAGTTAACCGAGTAATTTAATTAACAAATTTTCTACTGTCTTGACCTCCATTTCGATCTGTTTGCAGTGTAGTCATAAATCAGCCAAACATCTTGTAGTCGAGGACTAACAGTAGAGTTTTAACCGCAAGTCACTTCAGTTAGCATAGGAACCTCGTAAATGCTGAATAAGTCTACTTTACACGTCATACTATGACTGTGCGCCATAAAAATGCTTCTTTTATATAAAAATGCCTCCTGGATGAAGTCTTTGTTAAAACTAATATCTATTCCTTCAAATATTTATCTGCTGTTAATATTATAGTTATGATTATCGGTGCTCAATTAATACTGAACACTATGTATACTTTATTAAAGCATAAAATCCAATATCTATTTTATTAATTGGATTATACACCATTATTCATTGACTAATAGATAAGACAGAGTTGACAGGTGAGAAACCTGACGGTAGTAACAACACTGATAGTAATATTTAACAGACTTCAGATTGTTAAAAATTGCGATAAATCCGATTCAAGGATTTTCATTCAGCTGACAATGACATCTTTCAAGATGTAAAACACTTCTTATCAGAGTTTTAGTACAGTATAGTAATGGTTAAATGAAAAATAATATATTTTGGAGGTTTATTTGTCATTTTTGGTGATTTATGGTTTTTCTTACCTCAGTTCTGTGCATTTTTTCATAGTTAAAATCCCTTCCTTTTGATTTGTTTTGATGAAAGATTGTCTTTTTTGCCATTTTGGAATGTACATCATTTTTTCAACTGGACAAAAGTTAAGTACTTAAATATCCACCTGAACACAGGAGTGTGTAAGTCCAAAGCATAAACATTCGTTTTGATTGAAAAAATGAGAAATAAGATAAACTAGATAAAAACAAGACTAGATTTAGAATGTAGAAGATTCACGGTTAATCTTTTGTCTGAATAACGACTAACATCAGACTGAGTAACTTCAAGTAAGAGATGGTAATCCACTACTGCTGGGTAGTGTATGAATTTGTTCGAAATTTGTTCCTGTCAAGAAATCTCCTAAATCATTTGACATTTTATCAAGTTTTGAAGATTTCCTTTTGTGTCTTTTGGTGTCATTTAAATGCACATTAAGCAAATTCGCATTATTTTCAGTTGATGTTTCGGTCAGTAAAACATCAGTTGATAATGCAGGAAGTGATTGTTGGACTAAATTGTCCACAAACAATGATTTTGTTGAATTATTACTTCTTGTTTTATTTTTATGACTATCAAGTGTTCGACGATTTTTCTTTTGCAACTGTCTGACCGGTGTAGTATGAGATCCTAACATCATTCCTGGCTCACCTAGTGGTGAATCAGCAATTACAAGGGAATCAAATGATGATACGCTTGTAACACCCTCAACATTTGGTTCTTGTTCCATTCTACCAGTTGCTGAAGATGAACCTGTTCCAACTTCTGCAGGGGATGTCTGATCACTGCTGTTGGATTTCAGTGTACGATGTAATGCTGCTTCTAATAGATCTTTAGTTCTTCCCAAAATTTTTGCCTTTAACGATGGCATTATGTTTAGATTTAGATTTGGTTGTTCGACTTGAGCTTCCTGATGCGTGTTTGGCTTTCTAACTGTCACAGGCTCTGGGGTGGAAGAACGACGATGTCGTTTTATCATATCTTTCTTGTCATCTCTATTTCTTCTGTTTGGCATACTACTTTTAGCTCGACTTTTTAATGTACGTTCTAGATTTTCATCCCTTTCAGAGCTCTTTACCCTTCGACTTTTGTGCCTGTGAAATTCCCTACTAGAGGAAGATCTCCTAGGTTCACCTTCTTTTTTGCGACTTTTACTCCTTGATCTGTTGTGTCGTATATGTATAGAATTTTTTCTCGGCTTTGGAGTTAAATCTTCACTTGTATTAAAGTTATATGTGTCTGAGATCATACTTACTGACGTAGGAGTGTGAGCAGATATATTTTCTTGAGACTTAGTGCGTACCAGCTTTTTACTTTTAGTATGTTTTTCCCTAAGATCTTTATCTGCTTTATTTTTCACACTTTTTTTTCTGTTCTTCGGACGTGTTGTATTGATCACTTCTGGGAGGTCGCCAGAAAGGCTAACAGCTTTATTATTATTTGCGTCAGCTGAATTTCTTCTTAATTGTGGCGAGCATTTGATTTCTGGTTGTTTTGGTAGCTTTTGTTTAACTTTATTGGAGTTATTATTCTCTTCGAAATTCGTCTCATTTAATGTATCCATTTTGTTGATTTTAGGTGAATTGTTATTCATTACATCTGAACTATCCTCAGCATTATGTTTTCCAGTGTCTTTAGCACTAGCAGAGTGCTTGGCACCCATTAGATTTCCGCCTTCTGCTAGTTCATAAAAATGTCTGCTATCGACGAATGAAGGATCGACTTTCACCAAACTACCAACAAGCCTGTCATTTTCTTCTTCTAATAAATCCATATTTTGTTTAGTTGCATGAACGTCACGTAAAATTTTATCTTTAGTCTTTTGTTGTTCATCCAAGCGTTCGTGAAATCTTTGTTCCAGTGTTTTTTGTAATTCAACTTTCGACTGCAGAAACCTGACAGATTCTGCTAGCACACCCAAAACAGTTTGAGCCCTAGTATAAATTTCTTTCAGTCTATCGCCGATATCTCCAGCACGGCGTACAAGGTCAAACTCAGGACGCTCTGACCAGAAAAATATCCTGTCAATTAAGCCAATGTTTTCAGTAACTAGAGGCATACAGTAATTGCAAACCTGGCCAAGTACTAAACTGAAGTGAAGTTGTAGGTAAAATAAATCTCTGTAGTAATCGAGCAAAGGTTTAACTTTTGCCCTCACCTCTTGATGAATTTCTGCAATCGCCAACGCTATGTTGTCAATCATGTGCGTTGGAGGTCGCGGTTCAGAATATTTCTGAAAACCTAATGACCCTCCTTGACGCTGCGCCAACATATTTTTCCGCATTTGGGGAGAACGACATAATGCTAAATGACGAACACTGGCACCTGATTCAAGAGAAGCATAACCAAGACTTGCTAATTGATCAGCTAACAGTTCATTGTGACGTAAACGGCCTCCTAGACGATTTTCGGCCTCTTGTAATTCAATTTTTAGTTCAGCTATTTCATCTTCTCCAATCTGTAACTGCTCTTGTACAAATTCCTTTGTAATCAGTCGGTTTTGTTCATTAACTAGTCGACGATATTCCTCAAGATGTTTATAGCATACAAGAAAAATATCTTTTGTTTGCAATATCAAACGTAATTCGCCTTGAATATTATTAGGATATGTCGGTAGTTGGTCACTTATATTTCCCAAATTCATCATATCAATAGTTTTCACTGATAATGTGAGTAGACAAAGTGTATATCACGAAGTATTTCGAAAATATTGGTAGTCGTAACGTTTTTAAGACTTGTATTGTACAGTCCTTGCTCCCTTCAGACAGTCAGTCATATGGAGAGTACATGAAAATATCCAATTTATTAATCACGAGCGTTGATTTATCCAAAAAATAGCTATATTTTGAGACAACTTAAATTTACCTCCAAAATATGTTATGTAGGCAAGTTAATTTTAAAAACAGTATGCCTACAGTAAAATCGATAATATTCCGTCAATCAATAAGCCTATTGCTGAATAGTTATTTAACAGAGTAAATTAATATTACAAACCAAATTTCTGCTGATTTAACACTTTTTACAGCTAAATTTTCCTAAAATCTTAAAAAATAGCCTAAACATATTTCATCAGTTGAAATTAATGGATTCTTTAATACAAAAAAAATGAAATGACATCAGATCGTTACAGCTGTTCATTCGGATATACATGGCATTTACAAAATTACATCCCATGAGAAAAATTAGAATTTGTACTATAACAAAGATACCACGAAATATCAGATCTACTTAAGAATCATCACTCCAAATCAATTCGTAAGGTCAACCAGGCATTCGCTTTTAAGAAAGAAAGTAAACTTACTCTAAGCCTCCAACTCGTCCTACATGCAGACAAACGCTCATTTCAACGTGGTTTTACTTAGAAATAAGGATGACCTTTTGCAGTTGGAACATCTGGTCAATTACCGTTGTCCTTCCTACCCAGGTAGTAACCTCCAAATATTTAAAAAATGTACTTCACTGTCACTGCTTTGAATATTCTTTATAACTTAGGAGTTATTTTTGAAGAAAGTACTCCTTTAAACCCTCTTACCTCGCTTTTTAAATACTGCTAAAGTTATTCATCATTCTGAGAATTTCACACTCCTTTCCATGAACCTATGAACAATTCTACCTATAACTTTGTTTTCAGCCATTCATCTACAAACTATGATTATAATTAAAGTTAAAATCTATTATTAAAAACTTCCTTTGGGAAATAATATTTCATAAAACTATATGTACGAATGTACTGCTCATTAATAAATTCATTCAAAAAAAGTCACTCCGCTGTCAGTCAGAATAAGAAATATCAAGTTAGGACTAGCAAAGTTCTACGCTGATAATTCAGGTAAGTTCACTACACAAGCAGTCAATCACATTCATAAAGTATTACCTTTTTCCCACATAGTACTCTAATTTCCAGTGTATCTTTTGCATTTCTGTCTCTAAATTACCAAACATTTCCACATGTAAAAATAAATAAAAATTCAGTTTTTGGAGCTGAAAATAAGAATATTGATCACGTTTGTAGTTTAAGTACTCTTCAATGTGGTTACTGTTTATTATTTATTTGATTTACATATGTATATATTCTAGGTCTCTGATCACTAATCACTGATATGAAATTAAACTTTTGATAGCTGAATTCAAGAAGAATGTGAAACTTTTGGTGGTAAATCTAGAGTAAGAGGGATACATTTTGTCGAGTTAAATGAACTTAGCTCAATATTCTTTACCAAATAAAGAGAGCTTGAACTAATAAATATAAGATGCCAATCAATGACAAGATTTACAATTAATTTTATGGAGGTCTTAATAGAACATTTGATCAATCAGTTGAACCAGCATGAACTCAAATACAACTAATCAGTCAGTATTGTACAGTAAACTGGAATCGGACCGGATGGTAGGATGGTAAATTACCTGTCTCTTAAGCCTTACGGTGCTTGAATTCATCAGTCTAGCAGTTGCTAGTTGGATGTGATTAAAGGTCAAAGGCTTGGTTTAGATATCTATCTACAAGCATTCTATTCTGATTTCCACAGCGGTGAACTCTAGCATTCACCTCGATAAGTTTGATGAACAGTCGTAAAAACTTGTTAATCTCTCTTTTCTTTTCAAGGTGCTCGTTGTTCTTTTTGATTTATGAACAGGTTTTTTCTAGCTGCTTTAACTTTGCAAAATTACGAGTTTATTGAAAATACTTTAAGTTACTTCATCCGGATTTTCCTTATAGGGTTAAATAGAAGGCAGTGGTTGCAGTGCAAAAACATTTACTCTTTACTAAGCATTCAAAAGTCAAAAGTTATAAATAAACAAAAGGACCGACGGGGTAATAAGATGAGTAAATTGTCTGAGAGGTTAGATGAGGAGTTTGATTCAAGTTATTAGCCTTAATCTCCAGTAGAGAGTGGCATTTTTTTCACGGCCACTTTACTCAGTTTAATCCATTATTGTATTAATTTAGGTTGAGCGTTTTTGCAAATTTAAAGTCACATAAGTTTACTCTACTTGACACATAATGGCATAGTTGGATAAAATTTCAGGTATCGTACAAATATAAATGTTAGACAGAACTGATCAAATTTGTTTGGCAAACGATTTTGTGGCTTCACTGATACCAGCTATCTTAAAGCTGTGTTTGGGTTTGCAAATTCTAGTGTCCAACATACTACGCTGATTAGAACGAATGATTTTGCATGTCTTTCCATGCTGAAAAGGTAAGATAGACAACAATTAAACTAAAGGTAGCCACTATCATAATATAATTTTCGCTCGTTGTTGTGAGGATCTGAGGGCAAGCCCGTAGTGATGGTGGAGAGAGTCATAGTGTAACAACAGAAGACAAGGGCCAGGCAACAGATCGTTTTATTATGAAAATCAACACGTATTTATACATATTTCACCTACATTATTATAGACAAGCGCAGTCATCTGATTGGTTGTTTATCAGAAGTTAGGCAGACAAACGCAGGCTTCTGATTGGTTGTTTCGGGATTCCTTGACAAATAGAGTTCTCTATCTGCGAATCATATTTTGCCACGTTAACTTTGCTGTGATTGGTTGTTGACTCAGCCTTGTTCATATTTTCTCACGGCCCATATTAGTGACCTAGACCTTAACGTAGATTAGTGCCAACCAATCGGCTAGCAGCCTGCTCTCACCACACTCGTCCCCCCGTCAAATAGCTTCGTGCGCAGACGTTCCGACCTTCTGGGTGCTACATCCTCTAGTTGAGGATTGTTACTGACCGGCTTGTCCCACTGTACCCATCTTTGGAGCTGACTGGCGTTAACTCGTTTCTGTTTATCACCTCTTCGGATGGTATATACTTGACCCCGTCTTTTTGTGATTGTGTATGGTCCTTCCCACTTTGGAAGGAGTTTCCGTGAACCTAGCCCGCCTCCAACTGTATATCTCCTGTCTCTACACTTCACTTGGTCCCCGACTGCAAAGGTAATGCACTGCGTCCTTTCTTTCATCTGAGACTTCATGACATCACTGCGCTGCTTCCGTATTACATTCTTGACTGCCTCTTTCCTCTCTGCTTTTAATTTCGTCGTACTCCACTTTTGGTGCATGGGCCAGGTCTCATTGTGTACCGGTAATCGTGGTTTTCTACCATACATCAGTTGGAAGGGTGACTTCTTCGTTGTTTCCTGAGTGGTAGCCCGATGTGTTAGTAAAATCAGTGGAAGCTCCGTTTCCCAGTTCCCGCCCTTCGAGGCCAGCCACTCCTTCAGTGTACGGTTGTTTCTCTCCGTTAGGCCATTCGTTTGTGGATGGTATGGGGTCGTTCTGATCCTCTTGATGCCCAGCTGTTGCAAACGGGAAGTAAACTCTTCACTCTCGAAACAGGGACCTTGGTCTGTCAGTATTGTCTTCGGTACGCCGTGGTCTGCAACAATGTGTCTAACTACTGCATCTGTCACGGTTCTTGCACGTTGGTCTGGGATTGCTACGGCGTCTACCCATCGTGTCGCGTGTTCCGTCATCACCAAGAGGTACTGATTACCATTGGATGTCTGAGGAAATGGACCCATGACATCTACGGACCACAAGTCACCTATCGCGGTAACTGGAATCGACTGAAGTGGTGGTCGTATACACCGGTCACCTTTCATCAGCTGGCACCGTGGACATCCAAGTACGTATCTTGCTACGTCTTCTCTCATACCTGGCCAGTACATACTTTGTCTTAGGAGATCGGTCGTTCTGGCCACGCCTGTATGCGCTAGCTGGTGACATTCTTCTATCATGTCGTGGCGCGACGATTGAGGTATGACAGCCAGCCAGCTTCCGTCGTTCTCTCGCCAGGTCAGAGTCCCGTAGGCATTCACTCTGAGTCGATCCCTCTGTCTGAGTAGTGTGGTTAGCTCCTTACTCGCCGTAGTTTGATCCACTTCTATTCCGTTGGTGATCACCTGTATTACTGTATTCAGCGTATCGTCCAACCTCTGCCTACGTGCAAGTCTTAGTGGGTCTTGTTCTACTGCATGCACTCCGTAAGCGACCTCGGGCAACTCAGACTCATCTTCTGGTCTCGATAACAAATCTGCCAAGACATTTTCACTTCCAGGAACGTGTGAGATCGTAAAATCGTACTCCTGAAGACGCAACATCCACCGTGACAACTTCCCCCGTGGGTCTCTCGCTGTCTTCAAAAATTGTAGCGGCTTATGATCAGTTTCGATGTGGAACCGCCGGCCGAGTAAATAAGGTCTCCATTTGTCGACTGCCCATACCATTGCTAAACATTCTTTCTCTATCGTTGAATACTTTCTCTCTGCGAGTGTCAAAACCCTACTGGCATACTCAACGATTCCCTCGTCCTGTCTTAGGACCGCACCTATAGCGTAGTCACTGGCATCTGTGCACACTGTGAACTGTCTTCCTGGCACAGGTAGTTTTAGCGTCATTTGTTGGTGGTCGAGCAGCTGTTTAATTCTGTCGAATGTCCTCTGCGATTCTTCCGACCAAACAAACTTTGGCTCACCTAGTAGCCTGTATAGAGGGGCTGCTATCTCATTGAAGTTCTTCACGAAGCGACTATAAAACGCTGCTCTACCCAAGAATTGTCTCAGTTTTCTCTTTGAATTCGGGGCTGGAATCGTTTTAATCGTCAAAATTTTCTCCGGCAGTGGTTTAATCTCACCATTTCCCACT